TGTGGTCAATGTCATGAGACAAAGTGTATGTGAACTGCTGTATGGAAAATCAATTTGCTCTGTAAATCTTCACCCAAATCACACACACACACACAAAATACTGCCTCAGAAACTCATTTGGGATCACTAATAGTTGGAATGGACTGGATGGCTTTTGGGGGCAGGGAGTGATGGAATGTGTATGTGTGTGTGTGTGTGTGTGTGTGATTCCACTCAATGGCAGTGGGTTTGGGTTTTGCTTCTATAATGATTGACAGCCTTGGAAACCCTATGGGGTACTTCTACTCTGTCCTACAAGATCACTATGAATCTGAATCGACTTGATGGCAACGAAGTTCATTAGTTTTATTGAATTAATCAAGTCATGCAACCATCATCAATGCCCCTTGTCAAATTGTCCATGACCATAAAGAAAAGAAACTCAATGACTGCCATGAGTCTGTGGAGTCAAAAGAATGTTCTTTTTAAATGGGGTAGGTGGGTATACAGAAGGACATGATGATGGAGGCTCTGGCAGTTCCATCATCCAGGGGCCCAGGGCACACTCAGTGAGGTAATCATCCTGGACCTTCCATCACGTCAGTCCCATCAGCAGAGAGGAAGCTGCATGGGATCCTTCTGTTAACTTTACAGTCTTCTCTGGGATTTGCCTGTCCTCTATCGATCTACTCTGCAACTCAGAAACAAACACACACCAAAGCCCAAGGCCACATGTGCTCCACTCCTGCTGTTGTAGGTACCATGGTCTCGTAACATAGACAACCATTCATGGATTATTGTCCGTAGTCAGAGTGGAGCTACAAGGGCAGAGTTACGAATTTCAAACAGGATATCTGAACTGGAAGCCTAAAACATTAATTCTATCCTTTTACAAACATGTCTCCTGACTCTTGCTGTATGCCACTGTCCACAATAGATCACACTTCCAATACAGACTTTGATATTAGAAAGGAATTCCCTGTGTGTGTAGCTAATTATCTTTCCATTGAAATGAGTGAATGTACTCAGCCCACATATACTCATCCAATGACTGCACCTGATGGAACTTGAAAACACTTTGATGACAATGAGCCTTCTGCCACACACCTTTCCATTTCCCCTTGAATCTTTCTGAAGGGTGCAAAACAGGAGTCAGGAGGACAAGGGGCAAGATGGTGGCACAGACAGCAGCAACCCCATGATCCTCTCCCACGACAAGGGGAAGTACAAATCAGGGAGACCAGAGGTCTTGGACATCTGGACACCAAGTGAAGGACTGGAAAAACAGGCTGAACGTCTATAAGGGTTTTTATGTATACACAGGCATGTTATGTATACTATACACTGAATGAGATATTTGAGTGACATTACATACACAGTGTAATAAACTCTTTGGAAGAAATTATTAGAGTAAAAAATACTGTTTGGTGAACACCAGAGTGAAGATTAAACATGACAATCTACAGTATGGGTTACAATTCAGTATGAAGAAAACAAAAGTCCTCACAACTGGGCCAAAAAGCAGCATCACAATAGATGGAGAAAAGTTGAAGTTGTCAAAGACTTCGTATTATTTGCTTCTACGACCAACACCAATGGAAGCAGCAGTTAAGACATCAAAAGGCATACTGCATTAGGCAAATCTGTTGCAAAGACCTCTTTCAAGTGCTGAAGAGCAAAGACATCTCCTTGAATACTAAGATGAGCCTAACCCAAGCCATGGGATTTTTAATGATGAGTGCATTCAACTGTATGTGAAATAACATCATTAAAACCATGAAAAAACTATAAAACATATTTGCTAAAGGATATTTCCTGTCCCTTTATTTGTAATAGCCAAAGAGTTATGAAAAAGATAAACGTTGGATTGGAAAAGGAAGAAACACTGATAAAAACGGTCCCATAGTTACAGTAAAACAATAATTTCTCGCAAAGCCACAAAGTAGTTCTAATCACCCGGTCTTTAAGTTGGTAGTATTTTCTTACTCAGTGAGAAACTTTGTTAAGAGCTGATTTACAGGAATTTGGTACTCCAAATTCTAACAAGAAGGTGAAAACATTTCAATCTTGACACAGAAGTGTTTCCAATGTGTGTTCTTAATTGACAAGTGAGATATGAGGACCAAGTATAGGCTTTCCCACATTCGTACAATTCGTAAGTCCTGTCTCCACTGAGAGTTCTTCTCTTTATTGAGGGTTGAGGAATCGCTGAAGGTTTTCACACATTGCTTATATTCAAAAGGGATCTCTCCCCTGTGAGTTTTCATATTTATAGTCAAGGCTGAGTAATCACTATAGGCTTTCCAAAATCACTTACAGACATAAGACCTATGTCCCCTGTGAACCTGCCTATGTAAAGTGGGATATGACTTTTGACAAAAGGCTTTCCCACATACCTTGCATTCATAAGCCTTCTCTCAACTGTGAATTTTTATATGTTCTGAGAGACAACAGGAATGACAAAGTTTTCCCACATTTCTTATGTTCATACCTTCCCCCACTGTGAATTTTGTATGTTGACTTGGCTGTGATGAATGCCTAAGGCTTTTGCACATTGCTCTCATGAGTAAGGCCTCTCTGCACTGTGAGTCCTTAAATAACAAGTGAGGTCAGAGGAATTTCTAAAGCCATTCCCACATTCCTTAAATTCCTAGGGCCTATCTCCACTACAAGTTCTTCTTTGTTCAGAGAGCTATGAGGGCTGACAAAATACTTCCCCACATTACTTACATTCATAGGGCCTGTTCACTGTGACTTCTTATGTATGTAGTGAAGTCTGAGTGTTGACCAAATGCTTTCCCACATTCCTTGGGACTCTCTCCACTCTGAATTCTTTTATGTTTACAGAGCTGTGAGGGCTAACTAAATGGTTTCTCACATTACTTACATTTATAGGGCCTCTCCACTGTGAATTCTTTTATGTATACAGAAGCTTGAGGGGTGATTAACTACTTTCCCACATTCCTTACATGCATAGGGACTCACTGCACTGTGAACTCTTTTATGTTCAGAGAGGCCTGAGGGCTTCCTAAATGCTTTATCACATTCTTTACATTCATAGGGCCTCTCTCCATTGTGAATTCTTTTATGTTCAGAGAGGGTAGAGGAGCAAATAAATGCCTTCCCACATTCCTATGGCCTCTCTCCACTGTGAACTCTTTTATGTACAGAGAGGGCTGAGGAGTAACGAAATACTTTCCCACATTCTTTACATTCATAGGGCCTCTCTCCACTGTGAACTCTTTTATGGACAGAGAGGTTTGAGGACCAACTAAATGTTTTTCCACATTCCTTACATTCATAGGGCCTCTCTCCAAGGTGAATTCTTTCATGTCGAGACAGGTCTGAAAGCTTACTAAATGCTTTCCCACATTCGTTACTTTGATAGGGCCCCTGTCTTTTGTGAATTCTTTTATGTTGTAAGAGGTTTGAGGACTGACTAAATGCCTTCCCACATTCCTTACATTCATAGGGCCTCTCTCCACTGTGAGTTCTTTTATGTACAGAGAGGGTAGACAAACAACTAAATGTCTTCCCACATT